TTTTGCCTCTCCCTAGGAACAGCGTCTCTCCCATGCCAAGGGCTCCTTCACCCCCCACCACCTATGGATACATCAGCGTCCCAACAGCCTCAGAGCTTGCGGACATGGGCAGGACGGGAGGAGGGGTGGGGCCCGAGGGGGGAGTCTTGCTGTGCCCACCTCGGCCCTGCCTTACCCCCACCCCCAGCGAGGGTTCCTTAGCCAACGGTTGGGGCTCAGCCTCTGAGGACAATGCCGCCAGTGCCAGAGCCAGCCTGGTCAGCTCCTCTGATGGCTCCTTCCTCGCTGATGCTCACTTTGCCCGGGCCCTGGCAGTGGCCATGGATAGCTTTGGTTTTGGTCTAGAGCCCAGGGAGGCAGACTGCGTCTTCACAGGTATGTGAGGTCACTCCATCTTACTCCTCACTCATGCACCTTGCCTTTCTAACAGCCATCATCATGACATCGTTGTTAAAACAACTCATTTTATTGAATGATTACTATATCTCGGGTACTATGATAAGTGTTTTACATACATTTAATATTAAAAGTCTATGTAGAATATTCTTTATCCCTCTTACCCTAATGAGGAAACTGTAAGTCAGATAGTTTTATTAGTTTGTCGAAGGTCACCCACAGAACAAGTTGTCCAATTTTTTTTTTTTTTTTGAGATGGAGTCTTGCCCTGTCACCCAGGCTGGAGTGCAGTGGCGTGATCTCAGCTCACTGCAACTTCTGCCTCCTGGATTCAAGAGACTCTCCTGCCTCAGCCTCCCTAGTAGCTGCAATTACAGGCACCCACCCCCATGCCCAGCTAATTTTTTTGTATTTTTATTAGAGACAGGGTTTCACCATGTTGGCCAGGCTGGTTTCAAACTCCTGACCTCAAGTGATCCGCCCACCTTGGCCTCCCGGAGTACTGGGATTACAGGTGAGCCACTGCGCCCAGCCCAAATTGTCTAATTCTAAAGGCTGCCAACTGCAGGTCCATTTCCCTGACTCCGGGACTCCCCTCTTACCCTGACTTGTCCAGGAAAGGTTGCTCCAGTCTCTTCCAATCCCTTCTTCTTGTGCTATCCATGGCTGGGGCTGAGGAGCCACAGGGCTCACCTCTGACATTCCCAGCAGAGTGGGACCTTTATCTCCATGTCAGCAGAAGGTTGTGCAGGGCCCTGGCTCCTTAGGTGTCCCTTCCCCACATGCCCGGTCAGATTTCTCCATCCCCATTTTACTAACCCTAACTCTACCCTTTGCCCCCAAGAAAAACAACCAGGCTTGTGGCAAATGGGAAGGCAAGGATTATCCAGGACAAAAGGGCTCAGGATGGCAGAAAAAGAATGCCCAGAGAATGGGTATGTGAAGGGAGAGTGCAGAGAGAAGGCCAGAGCTTCCCTGGTAGGAAACAGTGCAAGCACTTCTCCCTAAAGAAACCAATGGATCCAGCCCCTGGGGATGTGGCCTCTGAGACTGATGGGCTGAATTGGGGTTAGCTTATGTTTAGGGCTGAGTACATGCCCTGAGCTGGTCCTAAGTTTTCTGTCCTAAACTGGTCAACCTCCCACAGACACCTCTACCCTCCCTGACAGATGCTTCATCACCTCCCTCCCCAAGGGATGACATCTTCCTGACCCCCAACCTCTCCCTGCCTCTGTGGGAGTGGAGGCCAGATTGGTTGGAAGACACGGATGTCAACCACACCCAGAGTCTGGGAAGGGGGATGCCTCCCTGGCCCCCTGACTCTCGGATCTCTTCCCAGAGAAGTCAGCTCCACTGTCCTGTGCCCAAGGCTGGTGGTGAGTATCTATCGTCCTGGCTAACATGACCATCTTGACCAGAGGGCTCCTGGGAGGAAGAGCCAGGAGGAAGCCTGGCATCGGGGAAGGGAGAGAAGGAACAGGGGAGATAACTCCACTGTCCTTCAGCTTCTCCTGTAGATTCCTCCTGAAATGTGTCCCTGAGACTGCCAAGAAGGGAATCAGAACCACCTCTCCCATCTGCCCACAAGACCTGGGCCATGGTGTGAGGGTCTTGGCCTGTGCTTCTCTGCAGTTGGGGTCCACCTTCTCCAGCCTCCAGAGAGTTCTCCCTCCAGGATTGTGAAAACAAATGAAAACAAAATTAGAGGACGGTAGACCTGGAGCCCCAGAGGGCAAAACATCATCTCCACTGATTCCTAGCCACTGCTTTCTCCTCTGTGCCACCCACTCCCACGACCAGGCCATTTCGGCCTGAGAAGCAGCCCTGTCTCCTGCTCTCCCCACCCACTTGGATCACAGGAAGTGGAGGAGCCACAGAGGCCTTCGTGAAGGACACCAGTGGCTGCTGGGAGAGGGCTGTGGAGGAAGGAGCTTCTTGGAGCCCCCTCTTAGAGAAGAGCTCAACTATCTCCCAATCTCACCATGGAAATAAATTAAGGATGAATGCCACTAAGGCACTGAGGCCATACCTCATGCCAAGCAAAGGGTTCAAGGCTGTGCCTAGGGAGAATGCTGAAGGAAGGGAGGTGTGAAACCATGGGATGAAAGCACTGTCCTCGAACTGCTGTCACTATGAGCTTAAGAAATTTCATACCATAAAATGGTAGACTTGAGTTCTGTGAGATCATTCCCCGGAGCACCATTTTTAGGGGGGCACCTGGAGAGATGGCAAGAGTTCCCGGAGTTAGGCAGGGATCAGGCATTCACTGACACTCAGAGAGTGTCACCCATTTCTGTTCTGAAGTTAAAGGGAGAATGGTGTTCACCCATCAAATTTTAGGCAGAATATAGAAAGGGCAGGGGTGGGGGAGTTTCAAGGTCTGCTGGTCCTGGAAACTTTTATTACCACCAGGTCCAGGGCCCGTCGGCCTGCACACAGTAAATCAATCGCAGTGACACAGTTTTGCAAAAGAGAAAAAATTTATGTGCAAGCTGCGGAGTGAGGAGGTGGCGGAACAGCTCTCAAATCTGCCTCCCCAAGATAAGCTTTAGGGGCATTTATGGCTGAGGGAAGTGGGATTGTCTAAGGCATGGGGAAGGGTGATTGGAAGTGGGGAAAATTAAGTAATAGGTTCATTCTGCCCAAGCGTAGTTGGGGTTCGTGGCATTTCATGAGGACGTATGTGTAGAAAATGGTTGTTATAACCTGAAGGTGAGTTTTTGGCCCTCTGATGTCTAAAGGCCACCCCTGGAGCAGTTGCAGAGGCCTAGCTGCAAGGTTGGTGGTCTCCACCAGTTTAAGCTGGACAAGAGCTGGCCCAAGTTCCTGTAAAATGACTGAAGTGGCCATTCCCATAGTGACCTATGAGTGTTATCTATCAAGTAGAAAGTGAAGGTTGTTTCCACGCTCAGCAGCGAGGCCTTCAGCTACCGAAGCCTTGTGCTTCATAGAAAAGGGGAAAAACAAAAAGCCAGCAACCAAAAGCAAGCAGGGCAGGCAGACCTGATCAAATTAGCCCCTCGGGTCCACCGATAGGAGACACCTGCTTTCAGCAGTCCCAAATGGTTTCTTAAAATAGGCACAGTGGCTAAATTCCACAAAAGGTAGAACCACCTGTCATGGTTGGCTTGGGAACACCCTTCAAAGAAAGAACAGAACAGAGAGGTGAACCTTGAAGCGGGACTTCCAGGGCTCGAGCCACAGAAGGTGCTGGAGGGCAGGAGGGCTGTGTCTTCCTCCCTTGGTGGGAAAGGTTGGGGGTGGAATCCACAATTTGGTGGAGGGGATGCTAAGAAGCATGACAGGGCCTCAAGAAGCAGGGCCGGAAAGGGGGTACTACTCCCTCAAACCCAGCAGCTCTCCTTGGAGGTCACTGGGAGTTGAGAGGCTGAGAAAGGCGGGACCATGGGGACTGGGGGCTTCCTGAGCCACGTTAATCAGGCCAGTCTGGGCTGGATTTTTGTGATCTCAGGAGGAAGAATCAGTACTCCACATATACATCCGTTTCTCTGTATTTTTTCTTTTCTTTTTTTTTTTTAGCTTCCTGGTAAAATTCCTTTTGAAAACATTCCAACCCTGTTTGCCAGACTGAAGGGAAAAGAGAGATTTGTACACACATATGTCAAAGGGGCAGATGAGGTCAGGGTCTGGACCTGGAGGGCAGCCACCAAGCCCAGAGAGTCCAGAGAAGTCACTGAGTTGAGGGTAGAGCAAGCAAGAAGGAACAAAACCTCAGGTCACCAGTGAGTACTCGGGATGCGGGGCAGCAGGTGACAAGGACCGCAGCATTCAACACCAAAGCAGTCTTAACAGTTCTGCACCCATCAACCCCGTCTCATCTGGGCCTACCAAGAGGTGCCCATCTGCACCTACCCTCTGTGATGGAGTCAGAGGGTTTGAAGAAGCATGTTCTTCCTTCTTGCCTGGGGTTTCTCCCATAAACTCCTCTTTCTTTGAGTTTTTCCAGATAATTGTTTGTGAGAGGTGTATTTCCTTGTGGGAAAGTAGACAAACCCCAGAGGTGGGCACTAAAGAAGGGCCTGGTCGATCTTCCAAAAGTGGAACATGTGTCTTATTACTGGGCAACTGGAAAGTCTCTACGGTTGTTTAACTCCGGGACAGTGGGCTTCTTACTCCTTTAGGAAGCAGGACAGGTCAGTCACCACCTAGCGTTTGTTTGTTTGTTTGCGATAGAGTCTCAGTCTGTCACCCAGGATGGAGTACGGTGGCACAATAGCTCACTGTAACCTCCAATACCTGGGTTCAGACAATCCTACTGCGTCAGCTTCCCAAGTAGCTAGGATCACAGGTGCACACAACTGTACCTGGCTTATTTATTTATTTATTGCATGTGTGTGGACACAAAGTCTTGCTAGATTGCCCAGGCTGGCCTCAAACTCCTGGGCTCAAGTGATCCTCCTGCTTCAGCCTCCTAAAGTGCTGGGATTACAGGTGTGAGCCATTGTGCCTGGCCTAACTTAGTGCTTTTGACAGAGTGGAAAGGGAAGCAGAAGCTACCAGTGTGTGTTCATATACAGGCCCCTGCAGTCCCCTTCTTCCCAACCTTCTGCACAGAACCAGACAAACAGGGCCCCGGGCTCTGATCAGACTCTTTTTATTGTTTTCTTTTGGCCTTCTCAGCCAATTGAAATAATGGATAACAGTGGGCTTCAGAAACCCCACTCATCACTGCTGGGAGGGAAGAGACGTGCCTATTTCCCTTCCCCGTGGCACTCCTGACATTCTCAATGCCCCAGCAAGGGTCATCTTGGTTCCTAGGGACAGAGAGAGAGAGATGCCATTTCCTGGCCCAGGGCAAAAAAGTCCAGGAGGGGCTCAGGCATTCTCCTAACCCAGTTCTCCTACGGAGGAGAGCCCAGGCTCCTCTATTATGTGTCATCTTGTCCTCAGCCCTCATTTCTTTTGTTGTTTGTTTGTTGTTTGAGACTGGGTCTCATTCTGTAGCCCAGGCTGGAAAGCAGTGGTGTGATCATGGCTCACTGTAGCCTTGACCTCCCAGGCTCACCTGATCCTCTCATCTCAAGCCTCTGAGTAGCTGGGACTACAGGAGCATGCCACCATCAGCTAATTTTGTATTTTGTGTAGAAATGGGATTTCAGCATGTCGCCCAGGCTAGTCTTGAACTCCTGAGCTCAAGGGATCTGCCTGCCTCGGTCTCCCAAAGTGCTGGGATTACAGGTGTGAGCCGCAACGCCCAGCCCCCTTGTCACTTCTACAGGGTTCCTCCCTCCCCCTCACTCTCTCGATCCCCTCTTTTTGACACTCCTCCACAAGTCTTTCCTACCTTCCTATTTTCCATCACCCCTTGCTTGGTCCACCCTTCCCTAGTCCTCTGCCCTCATTTCTTTTTTTTTCTTTTTTTTTTTTCTTTTTTTTTTTTCTTTTTTTTTTTTTTTGAGGCAGTGTCTCACTCTGTCACCAGGCTGGAGTGCAGTGGCAAGATCTCAGGTCCCTGCAACCTCCGTCTCCCAGATTCAAGGGAGTCCCTTGCCTCAGCCTCCCAAGTAGCTGGGACTGCAGGCATGCACCATACCCGGCTAATTTTTTGTGTTTTAGTAGAGACGAGGTTTCACCGTGTTAGCCAAGATGGTCTCAATCTTCTGACCTCGTGATCCACCTGCCTCCACCTCCCAAAGTGCTGGGATTACAGGCATGAGCCACTGCACCTGGCCACTAATCTCATTCTTCTGCAATCTGTAGCCCCTACCTCTCTGCGTTTCTGTCCAGGCCTTTGGCTCTGGCTCCGGCTCCGACTCTGGCTCCGGCCAGGGCCCCGGGAGCCCCTAGAGCTGCTGGAGCCCCTGGAAGAGTTGCTGCCGGCAGTGGAACAGGTGCTGGTGCCCTGGCTTCGGGACAGGAAGTTTGGTCTGCTGTATAGGAGCCAGGCCTCTTCTGCAGCACAAGAGGGAAGGCAGCCAGGTGCAGGCAGGGAGTAGAACTTCCCTGTCATCCACCCTACTGCCCTGACCACAAGCCCAGAGCTGGAAGAAGACGAAGGGCAGGCACCGGGCTTAGCCAGCCTGGGGCTGAGGGGCAGCAGAGTGTCCAGCACATGGCCTTGACATAACAGGTGCTCAGAAAACTGTGAGGGTGCTTCCAAGCAGAGGGAGACTTGTGGGGAGTAGGGACAGCGCACCTAGACCCCACTCCTCTCATCTGGGCTTCCGTCCTGGGAATGGACACAATTTGGGACCTCAGGGGATTGTGCTCAGAGAGAACTATAGAGACAGGAGAGTTTGATGTGGATCAAATGCATGAATGTAACTAAAGGGAAGGCTGAGCTGTCTGCCCTACTATCAGCCCTGGGTCCCAAGACTTACCATCTCCTGTGGCAGCAGCCCCTCTGCCTGCCCTGGCCCTGCTTACCATCTGGGCGGGGCCCCCGCTGGGCCGCCAGGGGCACTGCTGGCACCACTCTCCTCTCCCCACTGCGCTCCCGCTCCAGGGAGGACATGCTGCCTGCTGCCCTCAGCCCTAGGGCCCAGCTTGATTCTTCCTCTGGCGGCGGCAAGGGTGGTGGGGGCAAGTCTGGGGAGGGAGCTGTTTTCAGCAGAGTCTCCTGCTGCTCCTGTCACTAATCTTTCTCTCACCTGCATTCCCTGGCACCAGGAGGCTACCAATGAACAGCCCACGATTGGGGTTTACCTGCTCCCTCCTCCAGCCCCCAGAGTGTACTCTTGGTTTCCTGCCTGTCCCCCCACCACTACTGTCACCATCTCCCGGGCGCATGTCCCCTCACCCCCAGGACTGTTCTCCCTCCTGTAGGGAAGAGCCTTGGGTTTCTTCCGGATTCGAGTACGGGGTCCTTGAAGTGGGGGAGTCATCTCCCCATGCCCCTGCCAGGTTCTGCCTGTAGAGTTAGGAGACAAGAAGAGGAATGGGTAAGGGCAAAGATCAGGAAAGGGGTCTAAGGGTGAAGGGAAAGCAAGCACTGGGGGCAGGGGGGTAAAAAGGAGGTTGTACAGACTCACCTGGGGCACTGCTGGCTGTGCTAGGGGCAGGGCTGGGGCTGAGGTGCGACGAGGCTGCAGGGCCAGCACCTGAGCCAGCAGGCCTCCCTTCATGGTTCCCCAGCATGGGCTGGGATACACTGAGAGGGGAAGTTGGCCCAAGGGGCACCCTCCTGCAATGACATGAGGCCTCAGCAACTGTTCCTTCTACAAAAACCAAGTGCTGATTATGTGCCAGGCACTGCACTAGACACTCAGCCTAACAGATAAACAAGACACAACCCATCTGCGCATAAGTCTTCCCAAGCTAGAGAAGCATGAGGAGAGCCATATCTGAAGTGTCTCGGGAAGCTTGCAGACCACTCCAGCGAGGGGCAGTTTGATGGGCATGAGAGATCTTGCCAGCCTCCATATTCCTGCCCCCTGGAAATTACACTTCCACCTGACACAGCCCTGAGACCTCTGTACCCCAGGTCCATCCATCCGTCGGTCCATCTATCCATCCACCCATCCACCCATCCACCCATCCATCCATCCACCCATTCAGTCATCCGCTGAGTAGATATGTATAGAGGGCTTGCTTGCAATGAGTGAGGTCCTATATACCTCCCTACCTGGGCATCTGATGGAGATGGGGCATGTCAGTGGGGGGCTGGGGAGGGTCAGGAGGCGAGGGGGTAAGAGTGGCTGTGGACTGCTGTCCATAGGAGGGTGTGGGAGAGGGAGTTTCCCTTCGGGATGGAGTGACCAGGCACCCTCCACTAGAGCTGGGCTCTGTCAGGTGGCTTCTCTCAGATGTCGGCGGGCACCACTCCTCTTGCTCTGAGCTGGGGGCAAAGAGGCAGGAGAAAAGGGAAGGGCTGAGTTGCTTCCACACCTTCCCTTTGGCCTTCCTGCTGTCCCCTTCCTCCCTCTGCCTGTGTCTCTGCACCCTCCAGGAGCCCCTGGTCTGGCCGTAGGTGTGTGGGCCTCGAAGCAGGGAGCATCCTACCTGCCCTCCAGCTCCTCCTCAGGTCCCTCTAGGCAGCTCAGTTCACAGGAAGGGGGAGGTGGGGGCAGGGCTTCTGGCCAGTTCAGAGAGGGCATCTGCACAGGTTTCCCCAGAAGCTTCACTTTGCCTCCCCTGGCTCCTGAAGAGAATAGGATGGGGACACCCAGAGAACAGGCAGGAAAGAGCCAGAGAAGAGATGGGTCAGAAGTGCTGGGCTAGGTGCCAGTGGGTCAGAGAGGAGGATCCTCTTTGGGGATACCCTACCCTGGTCAGGGCTAAACGGGGTTTCAGGAGTTGGACTCATACCACTGTCCCCCTGGCTCCACTCTGGAGGAGCGTATTGGCTCCAGGGGCCCAGATCCCCGGAGGGATGTTGAGGGAAGCCCCCATGGAAGGTCTGCAGCTCCTCCCCTGCTGGGTCAATGGTGCTGTAGACAGGACCCTCTCCAGGGGCGGCCGTGCCCCGGGCGGTCTGAGCCAGATACAGGGAGATTCCTGCTTCTGCAGAGGAGAAAGAAGCGAGGCCCGGGGCCAGAGACAGAAAAACAGAGGACAACAATGGAGGGCCAAATAAGATCCCACGAGATCAACTTCTTCCCCAACACAAGCCTTACATCCTAAACCAGGGTGGAGGCAGGTCAGAGAGGCTCCCCCAGCTCACAATCCCAGAGATTGACCAACCTCAGAGAGACCAGGCTCCTGGGCACCCTTCAGTTTGCCCCAGTAGATAGGGAGAGGCGCACTGAAGCCAGGTGAGGGAATGAGAACTCCTCACCATTGTAATATCTGTCTTCCGGGTCAGGATTGCTGGGGCAGCAGCTTCCTCTGGGTTCCTGGGCCGAGGGGCTTCGAGACGGGTGGGGCCACGAATCTGCCAGCCATGGGTAGGGGGCGGGGCCGAGGCCCATGGGTGGTCTGAGGGAGAGCAGGTGGGAGTTGTGGACGGAGAGCCTGAAGTGGCCATCAAAGGAAGGGAGGTGGCGATATTCGGGAGCCGCAGGACAGTGGCGGTGGTGTTGGGGTGGGAGGTGGCCATGCTCCCCCCACCTGGGGCGGTAGCGGGGCGGAAGAAGGCCTGTTGGTGGAGGTCATCCTGGGGGGATGGGCTAAGAGAATTACCTGGAACTGGCTCCAGAGAGGCCCTCCGAGTGCGGGAAGGACACTGAAGAAGATGAGGAGGAGAATGAGTGATAGAAGGGCCTGTCCTGGGGGGGATCTGAACCTCACTAGGGCAGAGATGGCTTACCTGCCGGTGTGTAGGCAAAAGAGGCTTCCAGAAAGGAACCCGTGGGAGAAAAAAGAGGGGAAATGAGAAGGGTCAGAAATACCCCTATACTTGTCCACTCCTCGGCCCCGGTCCCAGTTCCACCACTCAGGCTGCACCCTGGACCGATTTCATCAGAATTTCTGGGGGATGGGATTCAGGTATAGACATTTTTCTCAAGCTCCCCAGGTGATTCCTATGTACAGCCAACCAGGATTGAAAACCACTGACCTCAGACACCTCAGAATCTCTCCAGAGACGTCCCTTACTAGGGAGTAGCAAAACTCAGGTCGCCTCCTGTCAGCGGGCCCCGCCTTTCCATCCAGACCCTGCCTCACAATTTACTGCCTGGGATCCTGGCCACACCCCCTCTCGCCAGGCCCCGCCCCCGCCCAGGGAGTGGGCTTTCGGTCCTGGAACTTGCCCCGAAATCGCCGGGCCTCCTCGCCGCGTCTTAGAGGCCAACGTCACCCGTCTCCCCAGATCCAGATCCCGCCCCGTCTTGGCCCGCCCCTCTCCCCAATCTTGGCAGCTCCTCGCGCCGTCCCGCGTATCCCGCCCCTACCCGAGAAACTGAACTTCAGATGCCACCCCTTCCTCCCCACCCGGTCCTCACTCGCCGGCGGCACAGCCCCTGCCCCTCCCCACGGCCGCCTGGCTCCGCCCAGGCTCCGTCCGCTCCGAGGCCGGGCGCTCACCCGCGTAGTGGCTGAGCTCTTTGCGCTGTTTCCTGCGCCGGTAGAGGGCGGCGCAGAGCCCGAGCAGCAGCGCCCCGCAGGCGGCACCACTGCCCGCGAGGAAGGCGGGCTCCCGCAGCACCCTCGCCAGCCGCTCCGCCAGCCCCGCGCCCACCTCCAGCTCGGGCTCCAGGTCCGGGGGAAACGCTGTGGGGGTTAGAGAGATGAGGGGAGGAGGGGTGCGAAACCCTGGAACTGGGAAAGGGTCATTCCCGACCCCGCAGGCACAGCTACCCCAATAGGGGTCTTGCCCCGCCCCCGCCAAGATCCCCAGTGGTGCGGTTTCGAGCGGACTCACGCAGCTGCACCAGCACCGGGGCACTGGCCACGCCCACGCCAGCGCTGGTGGCCGCCGCTACTAGGGTTCGATAGAGGAGACCGGGCACCAGTCCTCGGAGCATCGCGGAGCGTGCCCAGCCTGCTGCAGACCGATTGAGGTGGAAGCGGCTCTCATTGCCCAGGCACCAGATCTGGGGAGGCCGAGTCCCGGATTTAGAGTCAGAAGTGAGATTCTTAGCCTCACGGGAAACTTAAGGCTCCAATGGTAGAGGAGCCTTAGACAGATGTAATTCGACCTGGAAGCAATACTCAGAAACTTCTCTCCACTCCCCTAAACTCACCCCCAGCCCTAAAGCCGGACCTATAAAGGATTTCCTCTACCCTAATTCTAGCCACTAGGTCCTCCCTCTCCCTCTTGGCTGGCCCTCCCATCCAGTCCCTTCGCAATCCCTGTACCTGGTATTCCGTGATGACCCCATTTTGCTGGGAGGGGAGTGGAGGTTCCCAGGACACAGTGATACTGCTGTTGCCATCACCCCCCAAGGCCACCGCCACTCCCTGGGGGGGGCCACTGGGGGCTGGGCCAGGGTGGAGCATGGTGAGAAGGACACAAATAGTCATTGCAAGCTGCCCCTCCTGTCTCAACATTCCCCTCCCTGTTCTAACATCTTAGGGAACTGAGAGGCATTTCTCCTTCCCACCCACTTGCCCTGCTCTCCTGCAAATTTTCATCGCCCCTCCATCTCCACCCCCACCCCTTCTTCCCTCTTGTCCATCCATCTGTTTGGTGGCCCTCCTTACCTTCCTCAGGAATGCTCCTGGTCACAGAGAGGCTTTCAGCCCCCAACCCCTCCTGGCCTTGGGCTTGCACCTTGATCTGGATTTGGGCCCCTGGAGGAAGCCCTCTTAGCACAGTACTTTGTTGGCTGGGGGACTGTAGGTCCAGCATTGTCCAGCTTCCTCCGTCAGGGCCCACTACCCTCCAATACACCCGGAAACCTTGCACCAGCTGGACTGGGCCATCCACCTGTGGGAGACAGGGCAAGGCACACCAGAAGGGGAGGCTGGGGCCACACACGCTCTCCAGGACCAGCCCCTCGTCCTCTCATGCCATTCCGCAGCCAGTCACCTGCCACTCTCCCATACTCACTCTTGGAGGCCCTCATGTACCTCATTATCATCCCCACCCTGAAGCTCTTCCCCATACACACTCACAGTCCAGGACACCTGCAGGGTTCGGGGTCCCAGGACGATTGGCTCCTGCATGCGCACAGCCACTTCAGCCAGTCCCTGCTGGCCTCTCCATGGGTCCTCCACTGGCCTAGAGGGGCTGCTGTCTGTTGGCCAAAGAACCCACTCAGCAGAGGCTGCCAGGGCTAGGGAGATGGGACTGAGAGTGTGCTCATGTCCTACCTCCCCTGCTCCACTTAGTACTCCAGAGCACACCCACAGTCAGGAGGGGGCTGGCCAGGGAAATAGCTTCCAGACATGGGCCCAGTGTCCAGCTAGCATAACTACACATGCATCCTTTAAAGGCCCAGCCCCTCATCTCTAACAGGCTCAGAAGTCAGAAGCTGCTAAAATGAATGAATACCTCTCTCTCTTTCCTTCTTCCCTCCTCCCCTTTCCCTGCCTTCTTCCTCCCTTGTCTCTTCTATGAGAAAGGCAAACATGTTCTCCTATTCCAGGCCAGGGCACCAGTATAGACCTGGCATAGCAGGAAAGAACTTTATGAACAGCCGTGGTATCATGGTTTTGGGGGGAGGGATGCTCTGTGATGTACGTTTCATGCCCGTGAGCCCAGGGACTCTGACCTTACCCTGTGTACGGACAGGCTCAGAGACGGGGCTGGGCTCACTGAGGCCCCAGGATCCCACTGCTCGAACCAGAAACAGGTAGATGGTATTGGGCTGCAGACCACTGACTGTGTGTGTCTCCAGCTGCACGCTATCTGCCACAGTATGCCACGTGTTGCCAGCTGCTTGGCTACAACAGGAAGGAGATGACAGGGTTGTCTAAGCCAGGAACTCCCAACCTGTCTACTCCATGTCATCTGCTCTCTGTGGACCACCATTATGTCTTTGCCTTGGGAGAGGGTATTGGAGAACCCCACCTCACTATAGCAAAGACTCTCAGGGCATAGGATCCCCTCCTTTTAACTCTCCAGGTTGACATTCAAAACTTTCTCCATACCTGAAGGCCTCTATCACATAGGACGTGACTGCAGCCCCAGTCTGTGGGTTGTGCTTCCAGGTCAGGGTAATGCTGTTCTTGGTGATCTCAGTGACCACTGGCTGAGAGGGAGGCCCCGGAGGGGCACTGGGTTCTGTAGAGGGGTCTGGTGATACTCCCCAATCTTCTGCAGTGGGAGATAATCTTTAAGTAGAAGGATAGGGAAAGGATGATCCTAGTGTAACCTGTCTCCTTCCCAGGGGAGATGTGGAGCTCTGAGCAGTGGTGATGGTCAGAGTGGGCGATAGCATACCAACCCCTACTCACATCTGCCTCCTGTGGGCACCACTACTGTCCTCCTCATCCTTACCACCATGACCATGGCATTTTGAGATAAAAAGTTAATCCCGGAGTTTGAGGAGGTATTGACTACTTTTCAAAGCAGGTTTGGAGGAAGGTGTTATCAAAACAAAAGAACAAAGAAAAAGCTCACCCCGAATCTTAAGCCCACCACTCCATGTGGCTTCCCCTAGGGAACTCCTGGCCACACAGCTGTAGAAGCCCATGTCCATCTCCTGTAAGAGAGGGCAGAGCACTGGCAAACTGGGAGTGGAGTAAGGTCCAGCGAGGGGGTGGAGGCGGGTAGCAGAAGGATGGGAAGACATTGGACAGTAGGAGCTCTGAGATGACAGAGGGGCAAAGATGGGGTTACAGGCCCAGTGGGTACTTACTTGTGTAGGGAACGTGGAGAAAGCAGCCATTCTCAGTTACTAGGGCCCCAAGGGTGACACTCACCTGCACGTTGGCGATGTACAGGGTACCGTTGGCCATTGGCTTTAAGTGGAGGTCATCCCCCTGCAACCACTGCCCATCCTTCTTCCACTGGACACTAGGTTGAGGGTTACCAGTCACTCTGCATGGCAGCCACACAGAGGAGCCAAGCACCAGCGTCTGATTGGCTGGTCCCTGGAGGATGACAGGAGGCAACCCATCCAAGGAGGCTGAGAAAGGAAGAACTTGTGCACCTCAGGGGAGGTCAGGCAGCCAGCCACTTGTCCTTATTCTCTGCTCCTTCGCCCTCCCTCCCCCACCCCCTGAAACTTCCGGTGATCAGAGGGGGCTTTGAGAATCATGTGAAGTTTCTGCCCAGGACCAGCCATCTATTAGTGGTTTCTGCGGCTGGTTTCCAAACTTCAAGGACATGTCTCAAGAACACATCCCTCCTCTCGCAGACATCGTATTTAGACTCCAAGAGAAGCACATCACTTTAGGCCATTATTTCCTTCCGAGCCATGGATCCAGATCTATCTCCGTGGGCACGTACCTCCTTTTACCTCCAGCAGGGCCTTGGCCAGGATGCTGCCAGCCACACTGACAGCCTGGCACACGTAGTACCCCGCATCCCCACGCTGCACCGCAGTGATGTTGAGTTGGCCTCTTGGAGAGACTGAGAAGCGCCCCGTCGGCTGAAGTGATTGACTGGGGAAAAGCAGGACCTGGGGACAGAGCAAGGAACCAGGGTAGGGAATGAGCAGGCAGCTGGCCAGGGGGAGGTTCTCGTTCCTGTCCATCTCAAAATCCAGAGAATTTCTAAGATTCTGGTTCATCTCTGTCTCCAGCAATGATGTGAACTTAGGCAAAGTAGTTAAGTTTATTCACAATCAGGGAATGTTATTAGACAGTTTCAGAGTCTATTTCCCAACTCTGTGACTTCCTAGTTGGGAAACCCTGAACAAGCTATTTAACCTGTCTGAGCCCAAATTTCCTCAAATTTGACTCTTAGAGGATAGTTATAAAGATCACATGAAGTAATCATATGAAAGTCTTTTAACACTTTGTGGTAAACACATTCATCTTCTTCCTGGCTTTAACAGCTTTCATTAGATTAGGTAGGGAAGCAGGTTTGGGTCTCAGGATAAATGGCACCATGCTGAGACCCTGACTAATACTTGTTCCACCTCCTACTAACCATCACTGCTTTTATTCATGTGAGAATCTAATTAGAATGCAACAGTTCCAGGTGCTAGAAAAGATGTTAAAAAAAATTGTGGCTGTGGATTTGGAATGAGGTAGCAGGTTGCCAGGTTTTCCAGCAGAGTGGAGCTAATAATACTTATTTTATTTTACTGATCCTGTCTCCAGTAGCAAAATTCTCACCCTTCCTTTAGAGAGAGTTATTTATGTTGCAACTTCAGTTAATGTTCATTCCACTTCTGGATTCTGAGATTTGTTTGCAAGGTTCAAAAGGGATGACTGTGAGCGCTCCCTTGTGAAAGTCCCTTGCGGCTATCATAAATAGAAGAGCAAGTAATTTTCTAGCCTGAGCAGCTTTGGTTCAATACTGTGTCCAGAGCAGTGTATGTCCAAAGCCAAAGCCCAAGGGGTCTAAGGGAGGTGAAATAAATTGAGTTTGCTACATCTTCATGATAGGCTTGCCCAAAACAGATTCTCTAAGAAACTTACCATCCAGGACTGTTCTCTACCACCTAAATGTATTATTATCATTTATTAAAAAGTGTCCCAGTGTGTTCCAGGCCTTTTATATTCATTATCTTATTTAATCCTCTCAAATAATCTGCAAGGGTTTCTGGGGTCTCCCAAAGATAAAACAGAAGCCCCAGAGAGAAGTTTGCAGAATGCAGAGGAAGGGAGGTTGAGCCGCAGAGGAAGGCTGATGGGAAGCTCCTTGAAGATGACCACCCACCTGACTCCCCTCCTTCTGCCAGAAGATGGCAGGTGGGGGGTTTCCTTTGGTCTCGCACTGGAAAGCCACGCTGTCTCCAGGAGCTGCCATCTGGTCCTGGGGCTGGGTCACCAACTGGGGTGGGACTGGGAAGGGAAAGTGAGATAAAGGAACAGAGAGTCAGAGGAACTAGGAAGGGAGCAGGAGAGAGAAGCTCCAGCTTAGCTTAAGTGTACCTTGAGCTAAGATATCTATCTCTTCCTGCTCAGCCTGTTTAGCGTTCTCCTCCCACTCCTTGCAGAAGCCTCAGGTATCCCACTGACATGTCCTGCTCTGCCCTTTCTCCCCCAGTCTCCTGCCAGCCATCTTCCTTCTTCCCTCCTACCATCCCTGCTGCAGGCAGCCCTCAGTATAGCCCTCACCATGAACACTGAGGGAGCCAGATGCTTCAGCGCGGCCCACACTGTTCTCCGCCACACAGGTGTACGTTCCCTCATCTTCGGCACTCACATGCCCAATCCAAAGGCTGTGGTCACTCCGGATCTCATACCTGCTCCACTCCCCACCCCAGGCTGGGTTGGCTACAGCTACAGACCCCTTCTCTCTCCCCCAGGAAAGTCACCAGGGTCAGGGTACATAAAGAGAGGCAGGACCCAGCAGGGGCAGAAGCTGGTCACCCATGGACCCATCAGTGGATGTGGGGAACTGGATAGGACTGGGGCCACAGGCTCTAGGGAACAGACTTCTCTGTGCTCTCAAGTGAGAATGTGCCTGCTTTCCAGTTTTCTAGGGCAGAATAGTCTCTTGATCAGGTTGGGTTATCCTACAGGCAGAAGGAGGCCTCTCACCTGCCTGTGGGTAGTTCCCCATCCTCCTTGCGCCAGCTTAGACGAGGTGGGGGATCCCCCTTCACCTCACATAGGAAATTCACAGGCACATCAGCCAGGACCACCTGATTCACTGGTCTGCGCAGGAATGAGGGACGCTCTATGGAATGGTAGTGAATGAACAGTCAGGGTGTCTGCACAGCTGCTTACTCTCCAGGCCACCTGCTCCCATAACTTCAAAATTCCCTGTGCCTACCCAGTACCACGACTTTAGCTGGTACACTCTCCCTTTCTCCCGCCATGTTGGAGGCCACGCACACATACATCCCTGCATCGCTCTTGAGTGTATGTGACATCATCAGCTTCCCTCCACGGATCTGCAGAGTAATAATGGCAACTTTGGTCCTTTTCAGCTATCACGGCATACATATATATATAAGTATCTATGGTGTATATGTGTGTATATGCATATGTATAAAGTTTATTTGATCCTCACACCAAGCTAATAAAGACCAAGGACGTTGACCCACATATCAGATGGGGAGCTCCTGGAGCATCATGCCCCACTCCCCCCCCCCTTTTAATATCAATTCCATGTTCCTTATCCCTTACTGTATAGCTGACTCTTAATCTCTGGTCAGCTAATGCCCTGATCTCAATCTCCAGCCTTGTCACCTCCAAGACCCTTAGATCCAGGCCTTCCTGAGCCTTTGAGCCTGCTCCCAGACCCCCTACCTTATGGTCCCTCCCCTCGTGGGGTCCAGAGCCATAATCCTGCCCCTCACCGTGATCCTTCCCTCCTCTTCCTTGAGTCTTGCACCGTCCTTCCTCCAGGACACGGAAGGCTCCGGGTGGCCGCGAGGAGGCACGCATTCCAGTACTGCTGGCTCCCCCACTGCCACCACCACGTTCCCAGGAGACTGCCGGAAATCATCTCGGAGGACTGGGGGGCGGGGGGATAAGCAGGGTGTAGAGTGACATAACTGGCTGAGGACACAGGACAGTGTTCTCTTGGGAAGGGGTTGACCACCGCAGACCGGAATTCGTTCCCAGACGGGAAAATACCAGCCTGGAGTCAGATCCAGTTCCTTCTCTGGCCATGGTGTGGGCATTAGAGAGCAAAGGTCGCGATCTCAAAGGAGGATGCTGAGTGGGCTGAGGTCCCTGGGGCTGGTTCTGGTTCTGGTTCTGATTGCCCGGTGCCCTTCCACCTTTCCCGGGCTCTGGAAGCAACCAGCTGACCATCAACTGACTCTCACCTGCCACTTCCAGCGAGGCGTTTCTGCTCGCTGCTGCCCCCAGGTAGTTGCGAGCCACACAAGTGTAGATGCCTTCGTCCGGCCGCGCGCGGCGCCCGTGCACGATGCGCGGGAAGAAGAGGGCGCCGCTGGGCAGCAGCAGGCGGTGCGCGCGCGGGTCCTCGTGCACAGTGGCCACACGCGCTCCGTTCTTGTACCACTCAATGTTGGGTCGGGGCCGGCCCTCCGCGCGGCATGGTAACGTGGCGGGCTCGCCTCGAGAGACCAGCAGATCTGGCGGCTGCTCCACAATGCGGGGCATAGCGTCCTCCGGTTCCACCCTTGACCCTGGGGGCAGGGGGTGGTGCAGAGCGTTCAGACCGGGAAACTGGGGAAAGATTGAGGCTCCAGAGGGAAAGAGAATCCTCTGGTCGTCCCATCTCCTATGCTTCTCTGCTGGAGCTCAGTCCTCACCTGCCTACCCTCTCCCTCTGCAGGCTCCAATATCTCCTTATTGGCAGACGTCCCACGTTCTTGGTCTCAAAAGAAGATGCCTACAGACAGGCGAGTTAGTAGAGGAATCAGGACACAAACTTCTAGGCTGGCTTTCTGGATTACCTAAAGACCTGCACCTCCTCTCCTGCCAAGTTTAAGCGGAAGTGGCTGAACCACCGCTTGGCGAGTAGACCGCTCCCCAGCCTCCTGCCCTTTCCCACCTGCACTGGTTCACAGATGTCTGTGCTCAGTAAAGGACCATCAACCGTGCACTGGAGCCAACAACTGGTTCTCGACCTCTGCAAGGTCCCGGCCCAGTAAAATTCGGACGGAATGTGGATCTGCCTGGGATCCCTTATGAAAAGGAAGATGTGAGTGATAGGGCCGGGACTAGAAGGGGTTGTCAACCTGGATTCTATGAGTCGGCACAAAGTCCTTCTTAGTGACATCACGGATAATCATGCTTCATTTCAGGGGTCCTGTGAAGTCACAGGAACTGAACGCAAATAGCAGTAGAAATGTTAGTAAAGCTCCTTTTCCTGGCAGGCGCTTAGTTTCCAATGGGTTATTCTGATTGATGTTCTTCTACTTTCCCTGTTCACTCGGATCAGTTCATCCACATATTCTGTCTCGCCTGTCGCTTGGCCTGCAAATTGCGGCCTGTTTCACCTTCTGCAGCACTGTTTTGGATCCCAGAGCCTCTCAGCGCCTCCGCCCCGCTCCAGCCAACAAAAGTGGATTTGTAACCCGTGGCGGCCAGTAGGTGCCACTGCAGCCTTGAATAATCTGGTGTCAAATAACCAGGGACCACTTCAAGCTTCTGTTCTGGCCCCTGTCCCTTAGCCCTATCCCCGCCCCTCCTACCCTGTTCCAAAATCTTCAGGAACCTCCCACTTCCAGCCCAGGTGTGAGGTTGGGTTTCATTTCCAGCCCCTCCTCTATGAAGATCCGTTGTAGACAAAGCTGGACCGGCTGGCCTGTGCTGGCGCTGTCCTGCGGATTTTATTTTAATTGCCTGGAGTCAAGAAGATCGATTTCTGTCCCACTTGGGAGAGTGATTTTCTCCATATCCTCCCTTCTAAATGGAAATCTCTGCTTTTCACCAGTCTCTTCTCCTCCATCTCATCCCACTCCCAATTTTGGAACACCCCGTGGTGAGCAACACTGGAGTGACTGAGAGCTCAGGTGTTGGTGTTGAATTAGCCAGGTCTGGAATCTCTGACTTTGACCCTTCGTAGCTGTGAGAACCTGGGCACATTACTTAACTTCTCTGTGTCTTCGTTTCTTTATTTGTGATGTGGGAGTAACGATAGGGTTGCTATAAGACCAATGTATGTAAAGCACGTGGGGGATAAATGTCACTACTCGGCCATTAAGGGCTTGTGTTCCCCAGCATATGCACCTGATCTTGGCTCCTACAGTCGCTACCTGAAACGGATTCTACCAGGCCCCAATATTCTTGTTTTCCCTTGCTATAGCCCTCAGGCGGAATGGAAGTAAACTTTGATCTGTTATCGCTACGTTTTGCTTCATGATGCTTTTGTGACCGTTAGGGCACCATTCACTCTATAAATGCGCTTTCTCAGCGGCAAAATTTGTCTGCCAACACCTTCCTTACATACCCCACTTAGTTTTCGAGCTTAGGTGAGACAACGTGTGGTGAAAACACTCTGTAAACGCGCTAGGTGAGCAGAAACGGGACTCTGCTGTGTGCCAGCGAAAAGGGGTCTGTGCTTAACCTCCTGGGAATCTAGAAGGGTCAAGAGGTTGGCGAATCGGGCTCATCTCCCATCGTCTTTCTCCCCACTCCTTCCATACGGACCACACCCTTCTGGCCGGCCCTTTCCCCCTAATTCCTGTAGACACAGCTGCAGGCGCCCTTTCCCTGGAATTTCCCCCCGCCATTCCCGGTCTCAGGAGATGCTTAGACTGCAGCCTAATGAATAGCTGACGGCCATGCTAATGAGGCTCTGGGGCTCCTCCCTCAGCACCTGATGTGTCCCACACATAAACACAAACAAATTGCTCTGGGCTTCTTTCTCTCCGCCTTCGAGTCCCCAGCACAGTGCTCGTCACTAATCTCGAGTGGGTCGAGGCGGAGGGATGGGGACCGCGTGCACCTGGAAGGGACCGCAGGCGAAGGCGTACGGGAAAGCGAAGGTTCCCGACGCGGCCTGCAGGGGGCGCGCTCCGGCCTCTCCGCAGGCTCCGGGCTGCGGACTCCCGCAGCTTCCCGGCTGCGCTAGGGGAGAGCGCGCTGTCCCCGTCATTTATTAATCACCCTAATTAGCGGTAACGACCTCGCCGCCAGCTCCGCCCGCCCGCCGCAGCTCTGCCAGGGTGGGCCGGCTGAGAGTCCTGCCGCTGAAAGACAAACTTCTAAGTTTTCTTAAAATGATCGTCGCTCCTGTCCCCTCCGTAGCAAACACATTCAGCATTTTGGCTTTTTCTGGTCCTAAGTGAGTTCTTGGGAAACTTCAGGTTCCGACGACCTGCTGCCTGGGTGGGCCACCGAGTGACCCCGCTTGGCCGAGGCGGGCGGGCGACCATGCCCGCACCTCTGCCCTCCCTGCGCTGGGCCCCGGCCTGTCTTCGATCGGACTTCCTGCCCATCACCAGCCACGGTTCTTCTCACCTTGGGCGGGCGGGAGTTTTTTTGGGGGTGGGGGGTGGGGCGGTGTAAAAAGACTCGGTAGCCCTCTTCTCCCAAGCCCTGGACCTCCCGCGGGTACCCTCACTCAGGTGCTGGAAGCTCCAAATTATCCCTTAGCCCCCACGACCCAGGGAGGCTCTGGGAGGCGCAGCTCAATCCTGTGCCTCGGGACAGGAGCGCTTCTCCCTCCCTTCCACGCGGCCCTCTCACCTCACCCCCATCCCAGGATCCCTTATCCCCCAGAGGCAGGGTCTCACCGTTGAGAGGATCCCCGGGGGGCAGCAGGGTGTGGTTGAGCGCCGCCACAGAGGAGTTGAAGCCCAAGAGCAGCTCGCTGGAGTTGGAGATGTCCCCGGCCAGAGAGTCCGCGAACAAGTTCATCTGCAGCAGCGTTTTCAGCAAGTAGCGCAACATGGCTCGACTCAGCCGGGATCGGGGCGGGGGGCTCGGGGCCCAGCCCCTGGGTCTGAGACCCGTGGGCTGGGAGCCGTAAGCCCCTCCACAGCCTCTGCGCGCTGCCGCAGCCACGGTGCCGCTCTCCTGCCGGCACGCCTGGGTACGATCGGTGCCTCCTCGTGCCCTCCTCCTTCCCTCGTCCTTCTCTCCACCCCCCAGTGCTGGAGTCTCCTGGGAGCTGGGCAGGCGGAAAGCAGGTGCCACGCCGATCACGGCGTAATTAAGGGATTAATCCGCCTCCCTCTGCCCTCCCATTTCCACCCCTACCGTCACTATCCCGGCAGGAGACCGGAGTAGAGTAGCGCGCGAGTTGGAGTCCCCGCCCCGCACCCCGAGCCCCGCGTTCAGTTCTGGAGGCGGCGAGAGGTTTTCCCTTCTTTCTCGAAGCACCCAAGATGAGGGATGAGGCTCTGTCGCACCAACTTTAGGACTTTAGAAATCTGTCCTCTCTTTTCCCGAACCTTATGGAAACTGAGGCAAAGCGCAAGCAATGCTCCTTGTTGCCAAAGCTCTGCCTTCCATTCCCTCCCAAGTATCGGGGTTTGCGACGGAAGCGCAGGAGACTGGGGTGGTTTGCAGCAAGAGTTGGGAGTAGGAAGAGAATTCCATGACGGGTCCACCTCTCTGCCCTCTGTCCTCTGGTCTGAAGCCGGGAGGCCACGGGATGGAGCGGCGCGCCCTGACCAGGGAGTCCTGCTCCAAACGCCCTAATCTAGGAGTTCGCGTAGCGGGCTGAAAGCTCAGGGAAAGCCAGGCAACTCTCACTGGGTTGAATACTTTTACACTACTCTGCTTTGACATTTTTTATCAAATGTTTTACGTTTCCTAGGAGACTGAAGTGGAACCAAGGATTCTAGGACAAAAACAAAGAGAATAAGAGAATAATATTATTTTTGCAAAAGCATGTGGAATTGATACAAAATTCTTGCAAAGCTGTTCAAATCTGCGAACAGTCGTCCTTACTGGGGGGCGAGAAGAAAGCCATGCGTCCCCACTCCCACCTCCCACTTCCAGTCCGCGTCTGCTTCTGACTTTGCTGGAGTTCTTTCTACTTGAAGAACCCCCCCCACGTCCCCACCCTGGCAAACACACTTTCTTATACAAGAGCTGGCTTTGGGGTGTCAGGGAAAGAGAGAGGCCCGGGCGTTCCTAATCTGAGGTAAGGCCCTGCTGATTGGAGAGTGAGTGCCCGAGTTCTGGCTCAGCCTTCAGGCTCTGGGATGAGACAACCCACTTGGGGTGATTGCTTCTGACCCCAGTGGGGTTGAGATCGGAGGGGTGGGTGCTATACAGTGGCAGACTTGGGAGTAAGCAGAATCAAGAATCGGAGTATTTCAGGCATAGCTTGCTCAAGGGAACGGGAGACGTTGTCAAGGTGGGGGGGGGGGGTTGTTCCAAGCCTCCTTCCTCAGTCCAGGCACCTGGCTGTGAGCCTCCAGCTATGGGTGTTTAGGTGCCTTCCAACCCCAGCAGCTCTGGGCGGGATATAGAAAGGCTGAAAACACTAGGTGTGGGGGAGGGGTAGGTGGGAGGTGGAGGAAGGGCGGATGGCCCAGCGCGGGGCAGCGCGCTGGGAGCTGTCGTCTTCAGCACCTCATCTGCAGGTGCCTGACTAGGGCCCTGGAGCCCCCACGGAACACACAAATCCGAGCAGATCCTGGGGCTGAGGACTGGGGTGGGTAGGAGACAGGCTAGAGTCACGTCCTTTCAAAAGCAAGAAGATACTAAGTGATTTGAGGCCCTCCCTTCTTCGCTCCAGAGTTGGGTGGTATTCAGGTAAGAGAGAAGCTAAGGCATATATTTCCCACTCGAAATCTTTCAGGAATGACCAACACAGAAGTGGGTTCTAATCCTATATTTGCCAAGTACAAGATGTCGCCGCTTTGGATCTCAGGTTTCTCATCTGTTAAGGAGGAATTAAAGTACTTGATCTACTCTGACCCGTGAGATTCGAAGCTGGGGCGGGGGCCTTTGCTCCACCCGCTGCTGACCGAGGTCACCTGGGTTCCATCACACCAGAAGCTGAACCGGAATTGAAACCCTGAGTCCTGGCACCAGGCCCTGCTCTGGGGCGGAGGGGCCCAGAAACCCTCCCACCATCCGGCTCCTGCCCGGTCCTAATCCCCTGATTTGCTCCCGACTGGCCTCTCAGCAAACACAGGGCCCGCCAGCGTCTAGGGGCTTGTCACCCTGTTAGCGGATTTGTTCCCGGAGACGGCGCAGTTAATTGGTCCTTTATGTGGGGATCAGGGCATATTTGCTCAGGGTTCCCTGAGCGGAGGCGCAGCTCAGCCCGTGGGCAAGGCTGCTTCACAATCCCTGCCATGTGGGTTTGGAGGCTGGACAAATAAGGGAGCCACTCTCCTTTCCAGGAATCTGCTGTCTCTCCTACACCTCACCCTATCTGGGTTCTCTCTAATTTTCTCTCTCCTTTTCTTGTTTCTCTCTTTCCTGCTCTCCTCTTTTCTGCTCTTTCCTTCTTTGTACTTCTCTGTATCTTGATGATATTCTTTTTTAAAAATCAAACTCAGACCTAAGCCAAGAGGGCTGAGTTCTCCCAACTGGGAGTGTCAGAGAATAAATACCTCCCAACCACAGCCTAAGCTCCCTTCCTTTTCCTCCCCACTCTCCGGTGTCCCTAGGGCCCGGGTCTGGACAGAGAGGAGCAGAGAGTAGGCAGAGAAGACCCAGCAGAAGTCGCACCTCCCAGCTGTTCAGCTACCCTCTCCCCACCTTCCCTTCTTTACTGAGGGTCAGACAGGCAGCCTAGAAGCTGTCCCTGTCCCTGTCCACATCCAGCTTCTCTCCTGGCTACACCATAAGCAATTCTGGAAGGAGTTTGCCTCCTACTAGTCTCCTCATTGCCTGCTCTACTCTCTGAAAATTACCAAGACAACTCTTTGTCCTTTCGCTGGAGTGGGTAAGCAACTCATTTCCTACGTCCATTTCCTTACTGCAAGCGCCCTGCAAGCGCCCGTACACCACCTAAAACACTGAACAGGTAGCCTGCGATTGGCAGAGCCTCAGCCGGGGTCCAGTCCAGTGACTTCAAAAATTCCACCTTAAGCTGGAGAAAGAGTCAAAGCTGAGTTTAGAGCCCCTCCCTTCTACCACCTCAGGAAACTACTTCTTTCCCAGAGTTTTACCAATAATACACACAGTCCAGACTTTAGGGAGGTTAAAAAAAAAAAAAAAAAAAACACCCAGGTTTCGAAGGAGGGTTGGCAGAAAGAAAAGAGAATAGCAGGAAGCAGGGAAGTTAAGGTGAGTTGAATTTGTAGAGTTAGGGGCTAAGTTTGTTCTGATAAGGTTGTAGCGTCTGATGGGAAGAAGTGTGTGTGTGTGTTTGTATGTGTGTGTGTGCATGCACGCACCCATGTGTGTCTATATGTGGGTTCACAGGTAGAGAGCCCTGGGCCAGGAGCTGATGAGGTAATATGGAAGATGAGTATTTCTTCCCCAGGCTGATATTTTGGGTTAGTGGATTTGCAGAGGAACACAGGAAATGGGAAGGACAAGTGATTATGAGTAAGGCAGAAACCCTAAACAGGAGTGGTGTTTTGGGCATCATAAGGCTCTAAAGGAACTCTCCATTCCACGCCCCCGCTGGGATGTGTGTATATGTGTGTGTGTGTATGTGCTCGAGCACGTGCATACACATGCTAGGGGAAAGAATAGCTACCCCAGGCTAACTTCCTTGGCCTAGTGCCAGCATATCGGCCAGAGAATGTGGCTGGGAATTTTCAGTGGCCAAGCTGGGGCCGTATGGGGAGGCTTCTTGGTGGTCTAAAGCCTGCACGCCAGCTGGTAGTGGATGGAGCTGCTGGCATGTAATTGCCCAAGAAGGCAGTCCAAGGACAACCCCCCCATTGCTACCACTGCCTCTCCCCAGTGCGCACACACACTGTCCAGTCCATTTGCATATCCCCAGAGCCTGTAGCCTCCCATCACTCTCTGCCTGGACCCCTTCCCAGGGCATTACTACATACTGAGTGTGAATGTGTGTGTGTGTGTGTGTGTGTGTGTGTGTGTGTGTTTGTGCTGGGAGGGGGACAAGGAAATAACATCTGCCCCTTACCCCCTCTAGGGTATCCCTGCGAATGGCCCAGCAGGGCTGCTGGCTTCAGAGTGATGATGCCAGGGGGCAGTGACCTAGCCAGCAGGGGCCAGAGAACCAAACAGGAGGGGGAATCAGAGAGCAAAGAGCAGGCACCCAGCTGGAAAGCAGACAGCAGGAGCCTGCCCCCGGCAGGAGCAGGAGCGGGAGTGTGTTGGCCCAACCCCTGTAGCTGCTGAGATAATAAGCCAAGGCCCCTGCGTGAGAGTACGCCTTTCCCCACAGGGTTCCGGAGGAGGAGGCTGCGGGGAGACACTTTGCAACACATTCTACCAAGTCTGGAAATCTGGAGGCAACTGGGCAGAAACGTCCACATCCCAATACAGATACAACAAACGCCAGGGAGAACAAGAGCTTTCTTGGTTCTCTTTATAAAAAGATACAGAGCAAGCTTCCGTAAATATATGTTTGGTGACTATACCTGATTACATAGTTAGTCCTCACAACTGCCCCTGCAGAGCCCACTGGCCTTCTCTGTCTCTCCTTTTGCATGACAGCTGCTGTGAGAAAGTACCAAAAACTAGGTGGCCTAAAACAACAGAAACGTATCCTCTCACAGGCTAAAAGCCTGAAACCAAGGTGTCAGCTTCATGCTTTCCCTGAAAGCTCCAAGGGAGGATCCGTTCTTGCCTCCTCCACTGTCTGCTGATTCCCAGCAGCGCTTGGCCCTCCTCGTCTTGCAGTTTCATCACTCCATCACTGCTTCTGTCTTGTCACGGCCTTCTTCCCTGGGTGTGTGTCTCAGTGTTCCGTAGTTCTTCTTATAAGGTCCCCAGTCACTGGATTAAGGTCCATTTTAATTCAGCATGACCTCACCCTAACTAATTACATCCGCAAAACACCTCGTTTTCAAATAAGGTCACATTTTGAAGTTTTGGCTGGGTAGGAATTTTTTTAAAGGGGGCAACACATTTAACTTAGTATACCTTACTTTCTGTATTTCCTTCCTTCCCTGCTCTCTCCATATTCCAGATACTCTCCCAGGGCCCTATTATTTGAGGTTTTAAAATATTCTTGTAATAATAGTCATAATGCATGCTCAGGCAAACATATTCAAGCAGTATAAGAAATTATAAGATAAAAAAAGAAATTATAGATGAACAGTCTAGAGTAGGGCGGGAGGAAAAAGAAAAAGATGAAAAGTCTAAGTCCTCACTCCGTCATCAAGTCCTTCTTT